GTGAGTTGTGTTTGTTGGGCGACTTTATTAAACTGCTGACCAACAAAGTAACAGACAGACACATAAGGCCTGTACGATACGTGGAGAGAAGAGCAGAGAGAGGAAGGGTAAGCCGGTGTGTGTGAGACAGAGCTGTAGGTATGTATCTGTGTGAGAGAAAAAAGAGCTTTGTGAGTAAACACTAGAACACCAAAATAAGGTGGATGAATAAGTAGAAATAAAATGATGAAATAAGAAAGGAGCTATGGAAATAGAAAAATACCCTCCACAGTTCATTCAGTCAGTGTAGGCTGCTCTGGTTTAAGTTGTGTCTCTGAGCGAGAGAGGCACATGTTGCCTGCCAATAAATAAACTGTTGTCAATTCATAATTCCTTAATTAATTAATTTTAATACTTAATATACAAAATAATGACAAAGGTTAATAGTGTGTGCAAATTCCTTGGTTTAGAGAGATGGATTTTAGAGACGGATTTTAGAGAAGATATTTCTGTCAATTAAGTTTCTTTATATAGCACATACAGCAGACATAGACTCTGTGCTGGAGGGATAAAACGATACAAAACGCAATTTAAGTACTTACTCAGACTGTTTATGATCAACACAGAGTCATGTAACAGTCTCTCTACAGCATGCCAGGATGTGCAGGTGTTGAGAGATAACATCTAACGCACATGGCCTTGGGTGAATAATGGGCTTTTGTCTCTGATGATGGGTTTGGGCAAGTTCTCTTAAAGTGCCTTTTAATGTCATTTAGTCAGCCATGTCTTGTGGAATGTATGTTGTGTTGATATTTGGCAACCTTATCACCTCCTAACTAGAATCACCAAGTTCAGCACATTTAGAAGTAGGGAGTGATGACAATACCTTCGCTCCTGGGCTGTTTTTATGTGCCTGTTGAGTTTAGAAAGTCAATATATTGCTAAATGTTTTTACATTTGCGGTTGAAAAGTTGGTGTGTCAATAAAAACAAAATGTGACCTACCTAGTAAATAATTCATGATGTACAAGTATATGAGTTCAACTTACCTGGCAGAAGACGAAAACATCAATAAGGAGAATACAATGTTCTTAAATTAATACATGAAAGTGCTGCAGGGATGATGTACTTACGTAGTTACGTAGTTCTTTCTACTAAAAGCCAATGGGATTTTTCCACTGGATTTTGGATTGTTGCAGAAAATGAGCTCTGTGGCAAACAAATGTTTGTATTTTGTTAAGCAAGATAACTTACACAAATGAACACCGATCGGCAGAAGTTGAAAGCTGATGTTAGGCTTTAATCAAACTACACTACTAAACTTCTAACTTGTAATTAAATCTTGTAGTTCAAAACTATGAGTTGTAAAGTGTGAGTTAGAATAGTTTGCTAAAGCGTGAGTATAAACACAAAGGCGGACTAGTGAGTAGATGAATCTGTGTTTTAATGCCACCAACAACCTCTGTAGTTTCATTTAGCCACTTGTTAGCAACCGACACGTAGAAGCTTCAAAAAGGAGTATTTACTGACGTATTTTATGTCGTAGAACAAAACCAAAAAATCTCTTAAAGCTACAGTAGGTCACTTTTATAAAAATAACCTTTTGTTGTATTTGCTGAAACTTTCACTATATCCTGACAGTAGTACATGAGACAGATACTCTGAAACAATGAGGTTCCTCTGGCTCTATAGACACAGTAAACAACTCACCACAGTCCATTTAATAGCTGTTCTGGAGCACTGGATCATATCACATAATCTTTATTAGCAAATGGAGTCATTGTCATGAAATTGAACAATTTGTTCTTCTGTGCTTTCTCAGTGTGCGAGTCGATTAGTTGTAACAATTTCCATTGGAACTCCTTTCTAGTAAAGAAATAGTCCCTGTTGAGAGTGTGTTTTGGTGATTATGCAGTGTAACATGGACCCTGTTTCTGGAAAGAGATGTTGCTCTCTATTATTTAAAATATCAGTGTAATTTGGGTGAACCAAAACTTTAGGTTTCTTGGCTTCCAAGATGCACCTTGACTTACACAACTCCCCCATCCTCAAAGAGGCCACAGCTTTAAAGTGAGTCATATTTGGTACCTTATTTAACTGCTGACTATTAAGCCAAGTATCCATCTTTAGATTTTAAAGCCAGGCCCTAAGACAGAGCACCAGAGCACTATTTCCTCCTGCCTGTTCAAACTCTTGCTGCCATACTTCTGCAGATCATCTAACCATTTAAGCAGGATCAGACTGTGCAGCTTGTGTTAATGGGAAGGGAGGAGTAGCCTAGGAGAAACACATAGAAGGAAGCCAAACTCATGTGAAAACCAAACTCATGTTTCACCGAGACAGTCTTGCAGCAGGCTTGGAGACAGCATGTTGAGCCACTACTGGACTTACCAAAATAAATACTAAAACTGCTGAAAGATGTGATCAGGAGAAATCCATTCAAGCCCTTTCAAAGATATAGATCTCCTGGAAGATTAGAGTACAAAATTGGGAGAGTTTGGAGGACTGTTTGGACAGTTCTGGCTGTCTTATCATGTATGCATGTACAAACAAGACACACGGCCTCACAAGCACATTCACACACAAACTGCATTGGTAGCATTATGTGTAATCCAGGAGAAGATGAATAATAACTTAAAAAAATACACTGTATCAGGATTAGGTTATATCTGTGACCAAACCTTTTTCTTTGACATAGCCAAAACATCTTCCCAGTAGCGAGCCCAGTAGTAAATGTGCCCGTACTCATGATTTCCATCAAGTGCAGCCAGGAAGTATTGTGGCTGTTCTGTAGTGAGACAGAGAGTGTGATGTGGAGGTTGGTGTTTCCTTAACTGTACCACTATCTTCCCCTAACCTCAACCAAATGTTTTAGTTTCCCTAGCCATAACCGTACCTTAAAGGTCAACACGTTCTCACTCCCAACTCATCAAATACTGCCGCTTGGTCACTGGCCCCCCGCTTCAAAATGTGATGTTGTAGGTGTCCATCCCTCTAGCGTCATTTCTGGACGTGCAGGGCCTCGGCGTCAATTAATATGCAACGTCCAGTTAGACTTGGTTAATGTTGTGGACAGTTTAGTTAGGTTTAGGCACAAGATGTTGGAGAAGATTGTAAGTTACGTTACATACCTGGTGTACCTTAAGTACATTATGTAAGTAATGTATGTATTTACTGTAATTAGTTGTTTCCTCTTTGTTTCACGCAGGAGAGCGCTCCGTACAAGAGCTACATCAGCTGGCTGATAACTACAGCAGCTAACGATTTAGCTTCCGGGGTGCGGAGCTGCACTTCCAATTTAAGCCAATTTAAGGAATAGCGAGACATTTGACACAGCAACAGAGAGAGAGAGAGAGAGAGAGAGAGAGAGAGAGAAGAGAAGCAATCGCTAACCGCTAAGCTAAAGCTCAGAACTGAACAGCGTGTAAACCACTGTGGGATTAAGTTGCTGAAATGAACAGGCTTCTTGAGCAGAGCTAGTTTACCTTTAAATGATATTGTAGGCAATTAGCCGATGTAATGCACTCAACTGGTAGTCTGCAGTTTGGATATTGCTGTTGGCCATATTGGGATTTGGCTAAAAGTTTGAAAAATGGTGCAACCCTAGTTCTGGATAATTAAGAGGTGTTGATAGCCATAATATCTATTACCTTTCTACAATCATGGAGTAGATTTAACTGTATGGACAATTTCCAGTGCATTAATCATTGTATATACAATATACTTTTCAAATGACTAATCTCAATCATAGATTAAGCCATGTGTTCTGTTTCATTGGTCTGATAACAGAATATTTTAGTTTGGTCAGAATTAGTTGATGTATGGGTCAAGTCTTGGTTATGACTCTGCAAATTAAGAAAAAGCTGCATATTTTGGGTTTCAGACTAAAACTAGACTGAAATATTCACACAGTTTGATTAAATAAATACTAAAATGATCGCCTCAACTAAAGCTAGACTAAAGTGTTTGTAGGTTAGGACAAGACTAAAATAGTGTTTGTGGACTAAATGTTGACTCCAAATATGAAGCATGTGGTTGACTAAATATTGTGCATCTCTCCCTTCTAAGACGATCTGATCTAGATACATGGGCTACGCTATGATTCATGCATTTTAGTATGGAATAAGTCGGTGTGATTTGATGCAATATGATACAGTTCTTAACATTTGTTTAATGTAGACATTTATTTTCCATTCTAAATTAAAATAAACCACTGCTATAAAAGTGACATTGCTTACCTTCAAATACATATGTTTTATAAAATACCAGAGAATCCCAAGTAAGCCAAATGTCTCATTTCAGAATGACATGTCATTGTGTTTATTGCTTTTCCAACAGACGCAGACAAAAAAGACGTGATTACCTTAGAGCTCGTCCAGTTGGCTCTCAGTTGTGGCTGGAAAATGTTGCATCTTGCATTTTCTAGCCTGTGCTAGCTGTATTAGCATCCACAGACCCGCCTGCAGAGGTGTCACCATGCCATCTCACCAGCCGAGTATTAAGATTTGTCATGCTACCGCTGTATTTCATTGCTGTCCGACAGATCTTACAAATGGCTAGACTTTTGTACAACTTTCCTTCCTTTTTATAGAATCCAAATGTCTAAAGTTTAGATTTTCGATTTGATGGTGCACTGTAAATTGTGTCGACATTGTCAGACATGTTTGTTTCTGCGTGAGCCATGCTAAGCTAACTTTACTCCGGTTGCGATTTACGAGAGTGGAGACGCTGTTAGCAGCAAAGCTTCAGTCAACAAATAACTGCAGATAACTTTAGAATCGGACCATCGACCGGTTCATGATACATGTAGATCGATCCAGGGGTCCGTGTACTGATGTAGTTGTATCTGTAATGTTAGGGTTACAATCTTAACACACCTACTAAATACGCAAAAACATATCAAAAACTCACTTTGAATTCTGATGTCCTATATTATATCTATTATATCTAAAAAATATCTGATAACATGAACCTCCCCCCGTATGAAAAATGAGGGAAAACACTGCAAAGGACGCCGAAAACTTCTATAGAGATTGTATTATATTTCCAAAAATATATGTACAGTCTATTACAAAGGTTACAAAGCAAAAAGAATTGTCTATGTAACAAGAAATTGTCTAATTAAATGATCTTACATTTCTGCTGTTGGGGAAAATACTTTTGACCAGTGAATATTCTCAATACTTTCATCACAGAAAAATAAATAATAAATTGACAATTTTTATTACTGTACAACAAACTAAAAGGCAAATCAAAACAACGTCAAAGTAAAGATGGAAATCCTATCAGCTGTCTTTGGTCCTAAATGAAAAAAATTATGTACAACTGAAATCTTGTGGGTGACAATAATTCATCTGCGAGATAGAAAAATATAGTGCATTTTCAATGTATTCAGAGCTCTCTACTGAGTAATATGTGTAAAAAACAATATAAATAAAATGTACAAGTTTTACAATTAGAACATATACAAAGATTCCCTCAAATCTCGCCTCTTTCTGACACAATCAACAGTGCTGCGCTCTTTGGAATTATCCACCACCTCGCCGAGGTGGTGAAACTAACTTCCAACTGCTGACCCACAAGATTTGAAAAATAACTTCATACTCTATCTGCTATTCCTGATTCCAACAGACCCTCTATCCTGCAGGTTTTTTGTCTTTTTTAAATTTTTTATTCTTTTTTGTGTTTTTTGCACAACAAAACTTTTTCTTTTGTCCAGAGTTGAGCAACCTGAAGTTTAAAACGTGGATGAAACAAGCTGAAACAGACAGTAAAGTGACTTTTTTTGCTGAAGGTTACAGGTGATTTGGACGCTGAATCGATTGTATCCTGGCCTTAATCTCAATTTGGCTCAAACTGCTGTTTCCCCAGCACAGGAAAAAAGGGGACAGAGGCATTCTACCCTGGTGTGTGAGAGGCCTCCAGGGGCCCGGTTTTAAAATCAGAGAGGGGGAGTGGGGGTGAGAGAGAGAATGCTGCCTGTGAACTGGGGAGTTTTGTGCTGACAGAATGACTTTATGCCGGTATTCAATTCAAAGGTCTGGCCAAGGCCCAATTGCTGAGCTCTGCTGTATGGATAAAGGGGGAGGGTGTGTGTGACACAGGGGTTTCCGAGCTGGTCAGGGCTAGTTCCTGGTGTCTCCTCACAAAGGTGAAAGTGGATCTATGTCCAGACTAAGCTGGATAACTTAAACAGAGTTTACAGCTAACAATGACATGCATCCACATGAGCTTGTTCAGGTAATTTCCTTTAAGATCTCTGTGTTCTATCGGTTGGCGAAAACCGAAACTGCCCGTGGCACAGACAGAGTAAGTTCAACCTCCTGCTTTCTGTGATCATTTATACAGTGTTTTAATACAGTTTGTTGTCCTTCTTTACTTTATTGTCGTCAGAAAATGGTGGTCACAGCAATATTACCTGTTAAAAAGGCAGTCATTCCTACACAACTGCACCAATGAAATCTAGAGCGGAAACAATTAGGTGATGAATAAATGAACATAAAATGTATAATTGACAAAAGTTTTAAGTCACTTAACTGGTTCAGTATTCTCAAATGTGAATATTTGCAGATTTCTGTAGTGCTCTATGCTAGTTAATAGAACATGTCCGGATTTTGGACAATTTGAAAAAGTGTTATGGGCAGTTTTCACTATTTTCTGCATGCACTCAGAATTTATGACTGGGCAGACGGTGCTGTCTTTGCAACCGTGCGTGTCTGCTTTCTACATTTGTTTTAGGACTATTGGCTACCCCTTTAAAAGATGACTTAACTTAAAAGCGAGGGTTATGCCCAAATGATAGTGTCTAGGTGGGCTTACATCTTCCTAGTTTCCCTTGCCTTTTTTTATCTGCCTTGGAGACCTTTTTTAAAAAGGCTTCACACCAGCTTAGTCTGGTCAGAGGGCCAAAACGGAGAGAAAACGATGTCTTCTCAAATGTGGCTGGCTTAATGTGGATGTTCAGACAATGGAGGGCATGGAGAAAGCTGCTAATGGTTTAATGGCTCAAGGTTGCTTCCTGGTGGGATTATGCTTTTTCTATGCATTTGAGATGCAAAAAGCTGAAAGAAGTGAGCGTAGCTTTGAAAATATAGATTTATCTCTCAGGTTACAGCTGCAGTAAAAGAAAAAGTCATAATGGTTTCCTCCTGTGAACACCACTCCTCTTTACATGACAGCTGAATAACTGCATGTTCTTATCAAAGAGTGCTGCACTAAAACACCCTCCACATGGAAACTTTCTTCTTTTCTTGCATTTGAGGTGGAGACAGATGGCACCGAATGGGTTGATTGGCTTTTAGCACATCTTCTGCAGAGCCGTATGGAAGAAAAGAGGAGCAATCTTAAGAGACACTTTAATGCATGTTCCGTCACATCTACGCCTGTGAGGGGATGAGCGGCAGAGACGCATGAATAAACAAGGAAGCTGCAGGGCCGCCTACAGAGCCAGGACAGTGGGATTTAACAGCGCAGTCTGACTCGGGCTCCGTCGTCTGGTCCCGCATTTTCAGACCCAAACCCTGAAGGGGCTTTTTGATTTCTGGGCGGCACATTGGGTGTTGGAAGATGATGTCAGCATGACTAATTGGCACCTTTGTAGTGTTTCGAATGGTGCCTCTTTCATCTCCGCAGCCACTCAATTCAACATTTCCGTGCCATGTTAGATTTACATCAAACGTTTAGCGTATTACAGTGGCAAAACACGACATGATTATTTCATTTGATGACTTGGCACGGCAGTTTTCCAAGCACTTTCCAAACCACTTTTATGTCAAAGAGTTACGTTCTTTTCCTTTCCGGAGGTGACTGAATCTTTCCAAAGGGGTTGTCTCAGCACAGCACACACATGCGATAAAACCTAGCACCTTAAAAAAAATCTCAGGTGAGGACCATTTCTACCTGGTAATTATTGCTCTGTTTAGTCCATCTCTTCTTCGCTGACTGTGTCACTCGTGGCATTGAACCGTTCCCGTGCACTTGATTACACCAGTTCAAGTTCCAGATAAAAACACATCACACTACAAGGAAAACAAAAAAGTAGGAAGCTTTTCGCCCTTTAAATGAACCACATAAAGCATTGCCATTCAAGTGCCTAAAATAGTGGCAATACTTAATTTAACACATTTTAAGGCAGTATTACGTCAACACCTTTTTTTGTATCCACTCTTAAAAATTGTATTTGCAGCTAAAACAATGTACCAAAACAAACACTGTGTGCAACATTTTAGGCAAAATGATGGCAAAACAATTTGCGGTGGCTTCAATTTCAACAATCTTTCAACAGTGCTGCCACATTCTACTCAATCACTGTTCTGCGTTTCCTGTAGTGAACACGAGACAAAGGATATTGCTACTCTGATATAAAAGTCCGGTGATTTGAAGTACAATTCGCCTCCTGCGTCTCCTCGGTGTTACACTCAATCCTTATTAAAAAAAAATTTGAAAGGTTGAAAAACACGTCAAAAGCCCACTCCTGCGGGCTGAAAGCAAGCATGTGAGGATACCATTTTCACTTCAACAGCACATGAAGGAAAACATGAGTCACTGCAAACAGTTCAAACAGTCCAGCATGTGTCAGCACGTAAGTACCTTTGAGTCTGCATCTAAAAAGTTCCTTCTGTGTTTGGATAAAAGAGTTTACCCTGTTGTCAAGTCTAAATAGAAGATAAAAGAACAACCGCTGTTTGGGCCACAACATGTCACTGTGGCAGACGGAAAGAAAATTAACAAATTAGAAAAAGGAACAAGTAAAACCACTGCAAGTAGACAAGTTTTTTTTTTTGTTCATTTCAAAGGAAATCCATAGCCATGGTGTGCACTTAAATCATTAAGTCAAAGAAACCTAAGTGTCAAACTCCTTTCCTATGCGCCATTTGATATGTGGTTGAGTTCATAAGCGCTTCTAAAAAACAAAACAAAAAAAGGAAGTCGTCTCATCCTGGTAGGTTCTTTTTTTTGTTGCTGTTTTTTGCCCTTTTCCTCTCTTTAAGTGCCCATCGAAGAGGCGGACCACAATCCTTCACTGAGGAACACAGGAATGATTTCGCTCCAGACACAGCCGGAAGAGTCAGACATAACAGATGTCCGTTTACTTTGACGATTATCCCGGTTACGTCCCAGGCACTGCTCCAGATAAGTTCTGTTTTTGTTTTCACCCTGCTCAACGCGGCCCCTTCGCAGTCCGTCACACCTGTACACCCGTGCCGTGGAGATGCAGCATCTGGGCTCTCATAGTCTGTATGCTGCTCATGATCTTTTTCTGATGGCCCACCAGCGTGATCCCCAAGCTCATCACGTCCCTGGAAGACAGGACAACACATCAATCAATGCACAGGACCACAGTGAGGGGCAAAACAAGTGAGATTTACAGCCTCAGCTTTTTCATTATTGTGAGTAAGGGGTACAAAAAAAGGCAGCTAAATACACCAGGCTACTTTATGAATCTCGATAATAAATTTGAACATCAATTTCAAGGATGATGTAGCCAAAAAGTATCATCTGAAGTGGTCTGAAGTTTCATTTTTCTTTTTCTTGGGAAGTGTGTTTGGAAAGTTTATTTGAACCCTTGAGCATTTTATGGGGGTGTGGAAATGGATGTGACATCTGATGGTCATTGGAAGTTCTGAGTAACAACTCAAGGGCAAGCCACAGTCTGGGCTGATGTTCACATTTAGCTGCTCTCAACTGGTAAGAATGCAATAAACAGCAAATAGTTCATGTAGGTTCATGATACTTAAGACGGGGACACGCTTCATGAGAATGTCTTTTTGTATGTATGTATTTGTAATGTATTTTCGAGAGACATGAAAATGGGTGGCCCATTTGACCACGGAACATCAACTTGCTTTATCCTGTGAGATTTTGGATGACTTATAAAGCTAAAGTGCAAACTAGCTCTCAACTAACTGCACTTGTGGGTGTTATATTATTCAAATCTGAAAAGAAATTACAAAAAAGAATTTGATGAAGGCATGGCTACAAAATGGGCTAAGAATGGCTGGCTGCTAAGCAAACAGGAAGTGATTAGGACTACTATGGGTTTGACTCTTATGCCTGGTTTTCACTGCGTTGAGGAGGTAAACGCTGCAGTGGGACACGAAATTGAGACCCAGTACCTGGTACCAAAAGTGAGTCGCATTGAGTTGAGACGAGCCGTACCTAGTAGAAGAAACCCGGCTTTATTGACTTGCTCTACCTTAATCTACCTGGCCTACCTGAGAGGGTTTCAAGATTGAAGCTCTTACAAACATCAATGTAAAACTTAAACTTAAACTTAAAGCCAGTTTTCTGTTCTTTTTTTATAAGCAGCATAGTTCTGTAACATATTGTAAATACTCAAATAAAGGCAGTAAAAAATATAGGCTGTTTTTTTTTTTATAGTAGTACTGCTCTCACTAATCAGTTCCACTAATTTGTACCTTGCCTTTTTTTCTGTCGGTCCTTCAATCAGCGAAACTCAATACTTTGAGTAGATGTTTACATTAAAAGGGAAGAATTGTGTGAATACAGCTCGCCCTTCCAAACTTGCAGGAAAAACTAGGGTGGCAGCAAAATAAGTAAAAGGCCGCATTTACAGACAGTGCTTTATTTGTCCATTCTGACAGTTCAACATGGCGGACTTTGTAGAAGAGGACCCGCTCCATCTATAGATAAAAACGTCTCATTCTAAGGTAACCAAAATTCTTATATTCGGGTGATTATACACTTATGAAAACACACCTATAAATATTATATTTCTGAAAATAGAACCTCCTTAGTATTTCACACTGGACCTTTAAAATCTACCAAAATTTTGTTTGGCTTTTATTTCATAGGACAGCTGAAGACAGACAGGAAAGGGGGGATGACATGCAGCAAGGGGCTGCAGGTCGGATTCGAACCCTGGGCCGCTGCAGCAAGGACTCAGCCTCAGTACGTGGGTTGCCAGCTCTACCCACTGAGCTAACCGGGTGCCCCATGTCTACCAAAATTTTGAATGAATGTAAAATGCAACGTTGATTTGTTTCAGATTAGGAAGTTAAGTATAGGTGAGATGAGGGTCTAAGTGGGGCTGGTATCAATGTTTTCTACTGATGTTTAACCACTTAAGGGTTTCATATCTACTTACTCAATTGACATCCTGGCCACAGATTCCAGGGAACTGTAGCCAGCTGCTGTGAAGTTGTCTCTGTATCGCTCCATCTTGATGGCTTCCAGCCACTCTCCCACTGAGCGGAAAGCAGTGAAGTCTGGTGTGCTCTGATCCAGCAGTGGACTAATTGGTCTGCGGGATGAGCACAGAAAGATGTTTATGTCTTATGTGAAAAGGAAGCGTTCTGCTGAAAACACAATCAAGCAGGAGATGAGACAAAGCGACGACCAAAGGCATCCAGTGGTGCAGCAAATTGCAAGAAGGGGGGAAAAAACTAGCTGATTGGAGGCTTCAATCAATAAGAAATTCACAAATAGATGCAGCATGTCAGCTCTCTGCTTCTGAAAAATATTTTTGTCAATATCTTTTCAATCTGAATACATTTACCCTGTACAGTCTCCATACAATAAAGTGCTTTTTAACCAGTTGTAACCCCTGAGTCTCAATCTCACCTCGGGAAAGTATGTTCTGACTGCAAATAGAATTCCTCTGACAAACGTCAGACTGAGGTCTGGAGTTCCCACTGCACTTTAAAGTACCAGGAACTCATTATAGAGATTGATTTAAAAGCCCTGCTACTGACCATAAAGCCATGGAAGCTGCTTTGGGGTATCGATCCCCCGGGATTTATCTTCCATCTCTGAACTACAGAGGCTAAATCATCCACTGGACGCTTTGGATCATCCACTAATGTGCTAAAATAAAAGTTTGAATTCTTTATTGTATGAAGCCCACATTTTAAAATAAATTATTCTGGGTTTTTATTTCCTCACCTTGTACATGTTCCCACTGGGGTTTTCAAGGTGTTAGGGTTGCGGATCATCTTATCAAGGATGCCAACTATCTGATCAAATTTGGGACGTTCAGCTCTGTCTTTCTGCCAGCAGTCCAGCATTAGCTGATGCAGGCCTGGTGGACAGTCCATCGGGGCTGGAAGACGGTAGCCCTCCTCTATTGCCTTTATGACCTGGAGAATGCAAAACAGATGGACTCATTAGTGCCGGTATTTAGTATAAATCCTAACCCCAAACCTTTTGGTATCAGCCCTTAGCATCAATCTAACCCTAATACCAACCCCTGACCCAAACTGTTTGGTGTCACCCTAACCCTACCCCCAACCCATGACTCTAACCCTTTAGTATCAACTTTTAGTATCATCCTAACCCTAAGCCTTTCTGACGAAGTGAATAATTTACTACCCTTCATACACATTTCATCTTTTAATCATCAAGTTTGTAAAGAGACGTGCAGCAGCTTAATCATTTGTTGGTTACCTACAGCAGGTGTTGTGTGTTGTGGAATAAAGGGCCTAACCAGATTTGATGATCGAGTGCCAGTTTTGTTACAGTGAATGTGAACATGAGGACTCAAAACAGAATGAAAGTAGCTACACTGATGAGTAATTGTGGAGCGACAGGGTTCTCATCATACCACATTACACTGCACCAATATGCCTCTCATATACTAAGTATTTTTAACAGCTTCCTCTATTGAAATGAGGCTGCTGAGATCCTTCTACTGTATCTACCCCTGCTAGAGATGTTAATGATTTCCATTTCAAACTGTGAAGCCTGTCTGCAAAAAAACACTGCCTGAAAGATACTGTTTTAAACAGGGCCACTTCACAGTTTGTTTTATGTCCAAGTCAATTTACTCGTCAAGGGGAGTTCTATTCAGCGTGTGGAAGCTGTTTTAGAATGTCTTTGACTCTAGAGGACCTTTGTTGAGTCTGAAAAAAGTATTGTGGTATCAGCCAGGTATTTCAGTTTGAGAACCTTGTGTTGGAAGTGTACGATCCTGCAATTTTGGAACATGACCCACTCTAAGGACTAAGGACATTCTTCTTTCAGATCTGTCCCTCACAAGTTCTCCTAACTTTATGGAAGTTTAATACTGAATTGTAGGACAACCCATTGGGGCGGCTGTGGTGCAGAGGAAGAGCAGGTCATCCCCTAATCGGAAGGTTGTTGGTTCAGTCCCCGGATTCTCCTGCCACATGTCGAAGTATCCTTGGGCAAGATACTGAACCCCAAATTGCTCCCGATGCTGTGCAATGAATGAGTTAGTTTCTGTTGGCTTTGCCATCACTGAGTGAATGTGTGTGAATGTGGCATATAGTGTGAAAGCATGTGGAGTGGTCAGAAGACTAGAAAGGCGCTATACAAGTAAAAAATCTCTTGCCTTCAGTTATTGCTAAATTCTGCAGCTAAGCTTTTAACCAAGTCTTTAAACGATGAGCTCATACACCCATCCTTTTCTCTCTTTACTGGCTGACTTCAAGCTTTAGAATTGATTTCAAGATTTTACTGATAACCTTTAAGGCACTACAGGGTAAAGCTTCTGGTTACATTAGTATGTTATATACTACAGTGCAGACTAAGCTGTTTCCCTGAGATTAATTCCCCACATTTCTTATGTGTCTAAACAAAAAAGCTATATTTATACAGCTCTGATAAATAATTGAAAAGATCTTTCCGCAGAGCTGTTAAACCTGCAGTTTAGCGCAGAGTTCATTAAAAGTCAATGCCGTGAAAACAGTAGGTGCAGCAGGCACTTTGATTTGAGCCCCCAGCTCCCCTTCCTTTATTGTGTGGATAAGATGTTTGTACGAATCTGCATATGTTCATCAGCTATTCCTGTCAGGACTGCTCGGACAAGAATGAGTCATGGAGGGAAAAGGTGTCAAAACACTGAAATTGTTTGGTAAAAATGCAAATAATGCCCTGGAGGATGTTTGTTGACATCTTGACAAAGCGCAAAAATTTCTGACATTGATGTCTGTCAAGTAGCAGAGCGTCAAAACACCACACACAGCACTTTAATGCCTGGTCATCTTGTTTAGCATTTCTAACATCTGATTGTTCAATCAGCAGGCCTCTCCTTTGGAGCGGCGGAGAATCTTAATCATGTTTAGCCCTGATGCTGTGGGTGCTAGACACCGGGCGCCATATAGGAATTGTGAGGCCAGAACTCACTTGCCTTCTGCCATCAATCAAAATGTGTCAAGTGTCCAACAATAAAGAACAGCTTGAAGTGGTCTGGTGCAGTTGGACTCCCTTGGTGAGAGTTGGCAGGAAAGTAGGCAACAGCACTCAGAGAACTGCAGGTGAGTCAATCATTATAGCAATTTGTGATATTTGTAAAAAGAGGTGTGGGTAAATGTGTTCTTTGAGGAAGAAAAGTGTGGGCAATGTCAGGAGTCAGCTTTACAATTTACTTGATGGTAAGGTAGAAGATGAATCTTGATTTTTGAATCACAATTTCTGAAATAAAATGAGTTTTATCCTCCTGCACCTTAAAGATACTTTATATGATTTAATTAGAGTGCCTAATAGAACATCCACATTTCCCTTCCAGCTCCAGTACATTGAGTTTTCATAACATCAGCAAACAGGTGGGAGAAAGTTCTGGGACTGTGACTGTTTATGTTGTGTGTATTTGAACTTTTCATCCAGTTTTGTAGAGCTGCATCGCTACAAGTTTCAGAAGGTAAAATATCTTGCTTTGAATGCATTGTGCTTGACTGAGGTTTGACTTTGTTTCATTTATATCGACTCCTGTTTAATTCATTATTATTACTTTATTTACAGCTACAAGCTGATGTTGACTCGTGGTTAGGCTTTGTACATATCCAGCATAAATCCTATACATGTATGTTTTATGTTCAAGAAATAACTAATTCCCTATCTTACAGTAAGTGAGTGTGCTGAGACCTTTATATGTCTGACTGAAAGGGAACCTAACTACAATTAAAGACGTACTCCGTAATTTTGCATTGCGCTTTCATAAAGTTGTGGAGTTTGCGAGAGACAGATGGTTTTTTTTTTGTTAAAAATATGTAGTCATCCATGTGACATCATCAGGGTTATTTTCTCAGCCAAAGCCTTTTTATAGGTTGAGCAGTACTAACTAGGGATGAGTGAGTACACCGTTATCTATTTGTATCTGGATCTGTTCAACCAGCAAAATGATCTGTATCTGTACTCGGAATGGACCAGGCTTGTTAATTTAAGCCTGATATTATGGGTTGATCAGAATTTGCTATACTTATTAGAAAACTATTTGTAGTATTGAGCTTCAGATCAGTGTTTTTGATCATCTACAAATATGGATATTGACTCATTTTACTCCTAAAAAGTGCAGTATCTGTACCGGATTTTCATTTCAGTCAAAATTAGTGAAGTGCCCCTTTAAAATTAAAGTGCATCTATGGCTTTAACATCCTTGACTTTTTGTCTAAAACAAAACAAACTGCAAAAAATGCAGGATTTGCTAGCTGTGTAATTGGTTCAACGCTGCTACTCCCAACGGTTCACATTACCATAAGTCATTATAAACTTTTTAAAGACATTTGAATCTAAAGTATTCTGCATGACAAGTGTTTTCCACTCCTGTTATTTATATTGCCAGCATCAAATCCAAGTTCTCAGGACATTTTTATGCAAGTTCCGTTTTATGACCTTCAAATTGATTCACATTGCAGGATTATAGCAAGACTTTTTGAACTAATTTAGCTCAACGTTGCGATCATGAGGGTCCTGCAAGAAAGCCTTGAAAAGGTTTTTCTGTCATTTTCTACGTTTTAGTGGGAGTGAGATAAATCTGAGGGAAATCTCATGATTCATGGCCTTTTAGATGGTACTTACTAAGATCAGATTGGACGTAATGCATAACCTCCACTGAACTAACAGTATTTAATACTAGCTTGCTATTGTGAGCAATAAATGATTTATGATGATGATTATGATTTTAGGTTTCATCAGAAGTCATTAAATAGTAAACATCCCCATTACAACTTGTCAGAGCCCAAGGCGATGTTTTGTTCGAGCAGCAGTCCAAAACCCAAGGATGCCAAAGATACTGAATCGACAATGATATCCTTTCATCCAGCAAGCTGGAACCACTGAATGTTTGGAATTTTTGCTCAATAGCTGAACTCAACGATTACTCATTTACCAAAACTGTTGGTGATCCATTTTCTGTTGATAGACTTTTTGATTCAGCAATAATACTGAAGATTTTTGTCAAATGTAATGTCGATAATAACATGGTTTAACTCTACCTCCAACCCTAACCCTAACTCTACCTCTAACCCTACCTTTAACAACAAATGTACTTTCTTTTTCACAAGAGTTCCTAAATCACTGACAAAGATCTGGAATGAGAATTTGCACATTAATAATTTCTTATTAATGATTATGATCTTAGGTTGTGGCATGGTCCATCGGCAGGATGACAAATGCATTGTGTTAGTGATTTAATATCCACTCACGTCTTGGTTGGACATGTCCCAGTAAGGCCGTTCCCCATAGGACATGACCTCCCACATGACAATGCCATAACTCCACACGTCACTTGCAGAGGTGAATTTACGATACTGTATGGCTTCTGGCGCGGTCCATCGGACAGGTATTTTGCCACCCTGTTCAGTAAAATGCAGGTCAGTGGCTGGAGTAAAGATCAAATTCATTATATCCTGCATCTTCCCCTAAAATATCAATTAGACATTGGTTAGATTTACAATCACACAAAGGTTCAAAACAAAAAATAACTTTACCACAAACTTCAGAAAAAATATTGGCACCACTTTCTAATAATTTTTGTGGTTTTATAAGCTGTAACTGATTACTTTAAAACTAGACTTTATGGATTATGAGAAATAAACATTTTATGTGAAGCTTAAATATACTTAATTTGAAGTGCACTGAAATTTTTTCTTCTTTTTCTCTCCTTGATATTTTATTTCATATTTCTTATTAATCTCATCGTCATTTACTTATAAATATAATGAAAAAAGGAGTAATTTTGTTCTTCTTTTGTTGAACCAGCAGTACCAAACTTTAAAAAATTTAAAAGATATAAAACAAGAAAATAATTAAATTCTCTCATTTGAGAAGCCATTTGGCCATTGGCCTTTTTGCCTGAAAAATGCTCTATGAATAATTTATTATGAAAATAGTGTTGATTTTTTTGGCCATCGACAAATCATTCAACTGAATTATTGAAACTTAAACTGAAATGTTGCATTTGTAATAAACTGGAATCAACATTTTCATATGGTAACAGTACACAATATATATATATAATATAAGTAAATTATGAACTAACCATAAATAAGGCATTAGTTACAGCTTATAAAGCCTTTATAGGAGGTTTTGCTGAAAAACAGCTTATTTTGCATATTAAACACAGCGCTACTTGGGCGTACTTCTGTTCTATTTTCATGCACCGGCTTACTTGATTAGAGAATTCAGACAGGGCTCTGGGTAGAGAGAGCAAGTGCTTTAATTGACTCACAGTTGTTGTGTAGACAGCCTCGGGATCGTCGTCTATCACCCTTGACAGGCCGAAGTCCGACACTTTACATACGAGGTTGCTGTTGACGAGGATGTTTCGTGCAGCCAGATCTCGATGGACGTATCCCATATCAGAGAGGTATCTCATCCCTGCCGCTATGCCCCGCAGCATCCCCACCAACTGGATGACTGTGAACTGACCGTCGTGTTTCTGCGCGGCACAGAGAGACACAGGCGGGGTCAGCCATCTTTGCTGACCATGAGGGAAATGTAGGTCACAGCACTGCAGCAGCTCTCCAGCACAAGATTTATGATATTTATGTGATGCACAGATCCTACTGCAGACTGCCTGCTGTCTGGGACACTTTCCAGCCAGTGAAAAAGAAAAGTTACGAAAAAAGATGCTGTTTGAGCCTCCGAAGGTGATACTCACCCTGAGGAAAGCATCTAATGAGCCGTTCTCCATGTACTCGATGACAATCATCACTGGTTTTCCTGGAGAAAAAAAAGAAAAGAAAAGGATGGACAAGAAAAGAAGATGATTAATTGATACCTGAATTTTGTTTGCTTGCATAATGCTTCACAATAAACAACCACGCCGAAACGGCTTCCAAATTATTTTTAGCTGCGTGTTTCATTGGCTTTTAATTAAAAGTTACCATCTGCTCCTTTTATTACAGTGTCTAAATGAGAAAATGTTAAACAGGGAGTGTGGCTAATTTAATCAGATATAATGTCACTCTGACTATGGTGCTTTTACCTCCCAAAGCTAAATATTCTCTGATGAAACAGGATTTCTAAACTCTTTCATGGCTTTCACAGCTTATTTTTTAAAGTGTGATTACCTCTTGTGACGACTCCCTCCAGATGGACGACGTTGGGGTGGTCAAACTGCCCCATTATGCTGGCCTCGCACAGGAAGTCCCGCCTCTGCTTCTCCGTGTAGCCCACTTTTAAAGTCTTGATTGCAACCGACACATCCCGCTTCCCGGGCAGCTTGAGCCGACCGCTGCACACCTCCCCGAACTCTCCTGTGCGGTGATGGAAGCATTCATTAGTGAGTTGTGGGTAAAAAGAAAAAAAAAAAATCAAGTGCTTCACAATGACAAATTTATTAGTGTATTTTGAGACAAAGCAGCTGTGCAGTGGTGGAATACAAATTGGAATGCGACATCTTGTTATACTCGGGGGAGTGTAACCGAGACCTATAATAAGACATGCTAGAGATGCATAGATACTGTCATTGACCGCCTCTGTAAAACCCATGTGGCAGCAATTTTTCAGCTGTGGGAATCACTGCAACTGCTCCTAGCAGACGCAGCCCACACATTAATTGCAATGAACTTTTTCCCCTCTTTGCAATTGCACTATCAATATACAATGCATAAAGCTGTGTCCCTATTCAAGGTGTAAATATTTGGCTGTCAGTGTGATATATGAGAGCACAGGAGTAGCTAAACAGCAAGAGCAAAGACACAAGAGGATGGGCTCACCTGCTCCAATAACCCGCTCAATTTTAATGCAGGAGGCATCCAGCTCCTTGGCAAATTGATGGACAGCCCTGTTTGGGTCCTCGTAGGTTTCAGGGTCAATGTAGGTTTTGGTGCCTGGAAATTTGACTGTAGAAAGGTAAGAGGATTACTGTTACGATTAAATATGCACACTGCGCACCAGCGGGCGCTTGACAGGCAAACGATTACTAAGACCAGTGATTCAGAGGGAATTGCTGAACAGTCAGTGGCCGGTGTCAAAAGGGTTTTCACACAGGAAAAAACCCCTCACAAAATGGGAAGCAAAGATTTGAGTAACCCACGTGTGGCGCTTTTATGAGGCTGTCGGTCACCTTTCACCTCCCTGCAGCTGAGACTGCCTCACTGAAGAATAATCTGTCTCGTGTCGGTTCACACGCTTAGTAGCTTTATGACACATGGTATTCTAGGGATGATCCAGGGGTTGTTCCCCTAAATTCAAATAATATATATATATCCAACAGCAAGTAGACATTTTGTATGGAACCAAAGAAAACTGTAACAATTGGAATTTTACAAGCAGCTGAAAACATAAATGTGAAATATCTAACCACTTAGTACTCAAAAGTTCTTCATAAATCCGTTTCTCTTCTTCGTTCCTACAGTGTGATGTTTGATCTTCACTGTGCATAATGACGTATGTGCAGAGTTAAAGGGCGGGGCCTTCAAGCATGATTTGTGACATTACAAATAGTTTGGAAGTCAATCCTGGTCCGGGATGCAACTTACACAAGTGTGATGTGGAAATCTTAATTACTTAAAATATCTGACTTTGAAAACCATCTGTCTGAAATTATGTTGTATACATTCCTCTCTTTGAAACTACCAGAAGGTAATCCTTGTCTTTGATCTAGACACTGATGTTCATGTTTAAATGAGTAATTATTCATTTTAGGGTCTGAACAGTAAAATAATAAATACATTTTAGCATCAAGAATTTCATAAATGATTACAGTTAGGTATTTAGCTGCTCATAAGGTTCTAATTCTTAAGGAATTTCTTTCATCCCCAAACCTAAACCGACATATATGTTAATGTTTTCCAAACGTTCCCTATAGTTGTAATTAAAAATCCACCATTAGGTATTCAGTTGTTGGTACACTATGAACGTTTTCCAGAACATAAGTTTTACGAACTGTAATGAAAGTGGTGCAATAATTCTCTTTTTCAGAGTAAATCCTTGGGCAAGACATTTGGGATTTTCTTAAAAAATAGTATGCAGTTTGAAATAACACTGATATGGGAAGGAGTTCATGAATATCCATGAAGTGAGAGTGGAAGCAGTTTGTAGAAAATAAGAAAAACAAACAAGGTTAGACAAAGGCCAGAGACGGGGTAGGGGGTTACCATTTCGCCCAGTCCCCCAAATTAACAGCAAATTACAATATTATGCCCCATTAAGGGAACAGTCCACTCATGGGGCCGATTACACTATGCATTTTAAATTCCACTGATAACAATATAACCTGTCAACTTTAAAATTTAATGAGATAGCACAGCCGTAATACGCTGGATAAACGCTGGACCAGAACAACACAATGGGACTGCGAGCTCAACCAGCCAGAGAGACTCTTGTTCTCTGCGTGGAGGAAAAGCACTGCGGCCAATCCGACAGCGTAAATACAACAAATACATTGTGCTCCAGCGAGGGGACGTCGGCAGCTGAGATTTCCCTCAACTTGCTCCCGTAATTGCTTCGTCCATCTGAGATGTCAGTGGATCTGATAGGAGATGTCTTATCGCAACTTCCTCGTCGTTACATGGCAGACAAATTGGGTCTACATGTTGAATTCGCGTGCTATCTAGCTTCTGTCGCCCTGGCAGCCTCTCGTCATTTGATATTGCACGGCGGATCCTCTCTATTATGCCCGACACTAGCCTTGTTTGTGTTTTCTCCCAGTTTTTTTTTCTTCCTTCAGCGGTTGGGACCAGTGAGCTGCTGAGGCGGATCTGTCAGGCACTTAGCAGTAGCCAACCTGGGCTCACCGGCACTGCCTCTGCTTCAGTCCTACACTTTGTGACACCACTGACCCTTTGTTTCCAAATCAGCAGTTTGCCTACAGCGCGGATCATTACAGCTCCACTTGGAGAAAGCTGTCTGCAGCTGTATCTCCAGGGGCATCATTAGGGGTAGTGTATCAGTGTTAAAAAAACAACAACCCTCTTACTGATAGAAGTCGCCTAGAAGCAGCCCTGACGACGGAGCTAACTGTGTGTACACTGTCGCTCTCTGAGTTGCGGCTTTTACAGTTGTTTTTCCTCCTTCCTCACGGGTCAGCCTCTCTTCCCTCCCTGACAGCTGTCACATTCATGCGTTTGTAGCTCCCTAACTTCTTCATCTCCGCAGACTGGCCAATCAGCAGCAGATGTTAGCTCGATTGTTCCCAGCTTTGACTAAAAGCAAACGAACTGGGATCAAACAGTCACGCCTGTGGGTGCTAATGGGTTTTAAGGCACCCTTCCTGTTCAGTATGCAGTGTCTGAGATGTCTCTATCTGCGTGTGTGTGTACATATATTCTATACGTGTGTGCGTTTGGGCTGATGAATGCAGGCACTCACACTGGAAGTAGAGCTCCTCGTCTCCCTCCTGATCGGCTTTGCTGTACCCGCAGTGCCTGCACGGGGGGAGAGGAAGAGAGTGGCAGAATCAACTGATTGTGCGGAGGAAATAAAACTCCCTAAATTACAAGAATTTTAATGCGGCGACTAATGCCGCGCATGACAAATCTCTTAAAGAACCCAGCTGAGCAGAGGGAGCTGTGAACCCCCACAGCCTGTACAGCCTGGGAAAGTAGCTCCAGCATCTAATCATGTAACATATCAAATAATACATGCACTGTAAAGGACTGTTCAACATGTCTGGAGATATTAATTTGTAATATTAACGTGTTGAAGGTTCCCCTTAAGCAGGTGATTTGCTGCACAAAGTTGGTCTTTGAGCGCAGACTGAAAAAAGGGGATGACGGAGGTGAAATAAGCCCCAAGTGATGGACATGCACTTAGTGGATTAAAGTACACACGTGTGTGTAGCGTGTCTCCATTAAACTCTAAAAACACTGCCTTTATTTACAGGCAAAAGACATTGTCACTACGTTTTAGCTCGATATGGCAAACTTTTTGATCAAAATTTCCAAAAGCCAGAGCTGCGGTCCTCAAATGTCTTGTTTTGTCGAGAAAGATATTCAGTTTTCTGTCATAGAGGAAAATATTCACATTTGAGAAACTAAAATCAGAGAATTTTAATATTTCTTCTCTAAAAATGACTCAAAACGATTAATCGGCTATCAAAATAGTTGCCGATTCATTTAACAGTTGACAACTAATTGTTGCAGCTCTTAACATTTTATGTTTGAGAGATTAAGAATGATCTTTCAATTTTTAAAAATTGATCCCATTTCGAAAGTATTTGCATTTTTTGTTCTCACATTTCTAATACATTATGGTTTCTCTGTACAATTTGATAGAGTGTCAGTGTTTTAGAGACTGTGTTGAGCAGGTGACATTCAGAGTCATGGCTTCCTCAAGAAAGGTCCTGATTGTGTAGAACAAAAGCCAATTTTCATAGTTTTCATTGCTGGTGTGGTTTTCTTTTTCTCATCGAGTAGCAGAGCGGGAGTCGGCCATGGTTCCTGAAGTAAAGGTCCCATTCTCTTTCTGCATGGAAAATGTTAGGAGACTGACAGTTGGAGTACTAGAAGGCTTGGAGGTGGGCTAAACTCCCAACATCAAATCATCAGTGTTAGATTTAGCAGGAGACTTTTGTGTTTCAATGTTGAGGGACACAGAATTGGGATGGATGTGGTGGATGTGTGTCTTTTTGCATCACTTGGATGATGCAAAGAGCGTGTGTAATGACACCACACAGTCAGTGAGTTAGCTGGGGGCTAAGCTTGAGCCCAGCAGCCTAAAGTTTGGGTTGACATCGCTATCACTGGAAAATTAAAGTCACACTGATACCAGCGGGATGTGTATGATGCCTGTACGTTCTGGTTTGATTCAGTTATAGTTCAGAGAAGAAGTGGGGCAATTTTTTTTCTGCAAAATGGCACCAAGGAAGGCTTCTTCTGATGAACCCTCCATTGAAAGCAAGCTCTGATAAAATGCCAGTCGTGCAGATGAGAACACAGATGAAGTGTGTGAGGGAATGGTGATAATGACAACGGGCAGGGTGCTTTGTGATGGTGGAAAAAAAAAAAAGCGCCATACTTCATCCTGCCCTGAGGATCTCACACACACAGGAATGCAGAGCCAAAGCTTTCTCACTCTGGGGTACTTGTCTCATAATGGCTCTGCAAAAATAGCTTAAAAATTTTGTTAGGGGCTGAGGGAGAAAAAAAAAAAAAAAAAATGCATCACAACCCATTAGCACAGCATGCCACGAGATGATGGGTGCACGTGTGTGTGCATGTGACGACTCCACAGACGTGGAGGCCTGTGAGTGACAGAAAGGCTAATTGACAAGCGCAGACTCACAGGAGCGGAGAGTCAATGGGGCCCGCGAGAGCGTACCTTCTCCCGATGATGAAGCCAAACACCATGAACACCAGGATGATGGTCCCCGCCACTGCCACCACCGCGATGATGATGACGGGGTTCTGCTCGCTCGAGACAATCGCAGCTGATGAGATGGACACAAACACAGACGGACATTCAGAAAGACAGAAAACGCTCAGTGTGAACATCAAAGGCTACAATCTGCAGGACATAACTGAGCCCAATGAGAGGCGTGGAGATTGATAGCCCCCCTCCTCTCCTTCCCTCGGATAGAGTGGAGGAGGGACGCTTCTATTTTTGAGCCGTCCTTATACACACGGCTCTACTGTTTCAGAAAGTGGGCTTAATAGTCCCAGACGGCGACGGCGATGCCCTTCATCTCAAACAAAGACACATTCAGGTTGGATTGTTTCCCATTCAGAGCTCTCGCAGCACTCAAATTGTTTGCGTTGACAAACTGCCGATTGCCCAAAAGAACAGCTCGCCATACCGTCGCATAAAGTCAACGCGAGTGGTGTATGAGGAGAGAAACTTCATGCATTTTAAATCAAGTGGATCTGCGCTGTATAAATGAAAGAGAATGATTTTTTTTTTTGTGGCCTGTCTGAGGAAGAGGAGGAGGAGGAGGAGGAGGAGGAGGAGGATAGGCCTGAAAAATGTGGCGACATTTGATCAGCTGTTACTCAATCAAGCTTCAATATCTCACCAATTGTCTATTTTGGGAGGAATTAGGAGCACTCAGCAGTCACACTACACTCTTGCAGGTTTCCCCCCTCTCGAGGCCGTCACTGAGGAGGCTAGCGGTTGCTGGTCAAGGACATTTTGACTGGACTGCAAACTTCTAACCTTGTCACAGGACACGCTCTGCATGCGGTATGAGTAATTAATGTGTCCTTTTGTACAGAGATGTTGGACGTAAAGTGGGTGGGGGCGTGTTTGGGTAGGAAGGTTGGATGTTGGGGCTCCAAACTAAAGAGAAATGAATGAAACTGGCTAAAACATACCAGGTAGAACGTTCATACTCACTAATTAACACTCTTTAACCCGTGCATGACAAACTTAAAAACTAAAATTTGTGGTTTAGTTACATGCTGGAACAAACAACAGCTAGGCACACTTTCTGTGTGTACACACTACATGGTTTATCATTGTTATTATTATTATTATTATTATTATTATTATATTTTAATCTTTATTTATTCAAGCACTCTCATTGAGATTATGAGCTCCTTTTCAGGAGAGACCTAAGAACAATAGACATACACAATCGCACAATAGACAAATAATTAATAAAAACAAACTCACAGTAAACATCAGACAGTAAGGATTTAAAGTCTCCAATGGGAATGCTACACTCAAGCTTAAGGGTAGTTTACAGTTCATTCCATTTAAAAGGGGTTTACTGCAGGTGTTTACTCTATAGTGATCAGTAAATTGAGATTTTAGACACTTATAAATCCTAATCTCTTAGCGAGAAGGGAATTTTTGAGGGCGCTAATAACTACATTAAATTCACATTCTGACAGTTAAATAAAATGATGCTCAGTATAAATATACAGCATTATGTAATTTCAGACTATCTTGGTTTCACAATGAGGTTGCCAGGTTTGGTTTTGTGCCAACATTGTGCCTATACCATGAAAATTAAAGCTTATTGTATGATCGAGTCTGTCCTAGGTTTCCTTTATTAACAATGAGCACACGTTTGACCTTTGCTTTTTTTAGCATCAGGTGCAACATATTTTTAAAATAGAATTGTTTTAATTTTAATTATACTACTTTAAAATATAAGTAATTCAAATTATAATCTTGTAGGACGGATATGACTATATTTTTGACATCATGTGGTGCGATGGATGGCAGTTTAGGACCCCCGATGTATAGCTTGTCTACAGTACTGAATTCTACCTCATTAGAGTTATTAAAAAAATACAGAAATAAATACAGAAGTGTTTCTTAAAAACAACCTTTCTGTTTTCATTCCTTTAAAGGGTCATTGTAACTGATGATGATAATAATAATAATAATTTTGTAATATCATATACCGTGATATTTTCTGAGACGTACTGTGAAAATCTCATTCCGTTGCAAACCTGTACAGCGACCAAAACCAAAGCCTATACTAAAGAAAAAAAAGAAAAAAAAACTGTCAACAAGTGCTATAAACTGCTGTTTAAGAACACAAAGTAACTCTCTCTAAAATCACAAACAGATCTTTTCACCTTTCGGTTTGATTTGGTTTTATTTATATTAATCTCCTTTAGAGGTGTTGCTATGCTTATTTCGGACAGAGCCAGGTTAGCTGTTTCCTCTGGCTTCAAGTCTTTATGCTAAGCTAGGTTAACCACAACACTAACTGCTGCCGAACCCCACATGTATCCGTGTTTACAATATCTTAGAATGGCCGACATTACGATCCATAACACAAGCACTTCACGGGAGCATCCCTCACCTCAGAATGAGCACAGTGTGACACTCAGAGCTAATGTAACTGATTAGATTGAAATGAGTTCATCCTCACGACGCTACAGTAGCTTGTCCTTGTGCTTAGTGATTCTTCCCACGACGTGTTGTCAGCATAAAGTCAAAGCAATTTCTGTTTTCTTTGCTTGAAAGCAAATAATTTCCCTGGGCTATTACTACAGAAGCTGGGAACATGAACAGGTTGTGCATAAATTTTGAAGTTTGAAAGCCTGTGTTCCAGAACGATGTGCTAATACATCGCCGTGGTCAAACTCTCCCTGTGTTAGGTGCGTAGCGTCGGTGCATTTGGAGGAACACTAATGCTCTCTGTGGGCTTTTCATTGGAAGAGGTGAAACGCTGTCAAATTAAAAGCATAACTTTCTGGCAATGATAATGCTGCAGTGGCTAACACAGGTACGTCTCTCACTAATTCATCAGTGCTTTTATACTTTTGTTGTGGCCTGTTGGACCAAACCTCCTACATTATTTCACTCTCACTTTCATACGGATTTCACTTAAATATGACTTTTCCCCTCCCCAGATTAGGATCTTATATGCAAAATGAACTGATTACACAACATTAGAGCTGTAATGCAAAAGCTAATACAGGAAGCTTGTAGAAATGGTCTATTCCTCTTCAGTTATACTCTATGCTCCTCTTCATATGTATATGTTTAGCTGTTTACAAAACATTTTTCTTAAATGACAATGTTTAAACCATGTACCTAAATTAATCAAAAAATAAAGCATGGATTGTTTTTGAAATAAAAATATCTTGGTTAATTAAAGGATGTAGAATTGTTCATGTTCTGTGTGGGAAGTAATAGAAGGGAAATAAAATGACTGCAATCAACTGAACACCGCTCGTCTGAACCTTAAAAACTGTTGAAATAATGTTACAACAATCAACAATAATGTTGAAAATAAAGATTTTGTCATAAAGTTACTGAATCTGAAAAGCTTTCTTGGCCATTTTCCATGCTTTTGAGACAGTCCCTAACTTCAACTCATCATGTGACCTGTAAAATATTTAAGGTGCCAAGCTTTAATACCTGATCCTGGGGTAAAAATAACACATGACATCAGTCAAGTTTTATTCAGCACTGTAGGACAAATCTAGTGAAAACTGATGGAAGGTTATTGAGGATAAACCACAACAAATGGTTGTTGCATTGGTAAGCAGTATAATATCCTACCTGTGGCCTCCTCCTTGGTGGTTATCTCTAATCTGGGCCCATAGGTGCCGTACCCTGCCTCTGTGAAGGCCCTGATCTGGAACACGTAGGCCGTGCTGGGCTTCAGGTTGTTCACTGTGGCTGATGTGGACTTGGACCTCACCGTGGAGTAGATTCGGTCCTTCTGATCCTGTACAAGGAATAAATCATCTTTTATACAAAAACTGACATTTTCACCATTTGGGATTGAAAAAAGAACATCCAACTGCTGTATGAACGTCTGGTTTTTAACTGAGTCCCATTGAAGTGCTGTTATCTTACTGCAGATATACTTCAGAGGAAGTAATTACCTGTCTTTTGTGAATAGAATGAACATGATTTAACAATGTTTCATCCAACTAGATGGACATTGTGTCAATTTAAGATGAAACCATTCAAATTTAGTAGCCATTTTAATATTCAGTACATATATCATAAATTCTAAAATAGTTTATAGCTTATTAATACTTTATTTACCTCAGCTGCAGAGAGAACCAGACCAATGTTCCCTCTTTTTTAGAAATACACATTCTCCTATTTGAATAAGACATCTCTGTCTCAGTTTGCTGTTGATGCACCCTCAACACTTCCTCCATGTTTACCTGTTCTTGTTTTGCTTCCTTGTTCTTGATAAATTCAGAACAAAGTGCACTAATTCCATCAGCACAACAAACACGTCATACTCACCACTCTGCTGCTCTGAATCGGTTTTCTATTCACAATTTAATTCCAATCGCTTTTTCTTTGCTATCTTTTAATCGCTCTTAAGCTACCTTCAATGGGACTTCCTGCACAGATGTTTCACATTAAAAGCCTTGCAGTGGTCTATAGGGTAAAATCCCACCTTTTCATGGGAGACTACTAAGCGGACCTGTCAATTGAGTGTTTTTGAAAAAAATTTGGACTGCAAAAGAAAATGCAAATCAACGCTTTAGGGCCGCCTCCTAATAGTCGTCTTAACTGTAAGCTGATGCAACTTTCGTTAGTTGGATAGTCACAGAAAAACAAGGTCAAACTCCAATCGGGAGCTGTGCAGGGCCAGAATGTAAGACAGAACAAGGCTTGCAGCCTGCAAGACCACTGGAGGCCAGCTGATTTCCAGTGGCTCCGACCAGGACTCTGACTCTGGGGGTGAAGACATGGCGTGTTACTAGTTGACTAGGAATCTAAATCTTTAGTCGGTGGCAGCCCTAGAATCCTTGTTTCCATCTACTACTGTTATGCTATTATTCTGTAAGTAAAGCAGTTGGTGGCGCCAGATCTCCAGTCAGAAAAACATAAGAAGAGGGCGCAACAAGATGATGTAATTGAAAAAGAGGAAGTGAAAGCTCAGACTGTGAAAAACAATGAAGAAAACAGGATTTCTGTTTGTTTGATTTATTAATGTGAGGAAGCTTCCATCAGATCTGTGTGTAGAGATCATAGAAAAAGGCAAAAACCTCCTCAAGCGAGCGTAAAAACAGTGTTTGTTTAGTATTTTGCCTTTCCCATCAACCTTTCCTAATGCAATACTTCAAATTGTGCATCAAAATACGGTGATGGAAACACGGATACTGATAGTAGCTTAACAGCAATTTTTAAAAAAAGCAAAGTTGAAGCAAATGGAACTGATTGGTCAGTATTTCTGATAAAAATACACAACTCCGCTGTTGTGAAAATGTAGATTATGCTCAAAGTACCATACAGTATAAATTCCAGTACAGCAAATTCCTCCCCCTTCAGTGTTCTTTAGCATGCAACCTTTATCTGAATTCTGACTTTTGAGAATTTACGCTATTAAGGAATGCAAATCAATTTTGCTAAACATCACTCTAATTATGCTTTATACTGATTGTACATAACAGAACATCTAATTTAACTGAAGTTATTATCTCACCATTAGGCAGCCTGCCACATAGACAACATAAACATATGAAAATATCTTCTCCATCAAGGAATCCATTTGGATGCACAGGCTGCACGCATTGTGTACTTTGTTGTTGATCTGTAAATGTTTTGCTCGGCAAAAGCCCAAATGGAATGCCAGGGTCTGTTAGGGGTGTAGTTGTTGTTTCCAATTTTCCACTTTTACAGCTGGGCAGACCACAGCCACAGTACGTGACATAGGAGACTGATTCGTCAGTGCTTTGCAAGAGGCTGCGACCAGCCAGGACTGGCATCAGAGCTCCGCTCCCCTGCCTTTGATTTGCTGGGTTAAATTCGCTCCATTAAACCTCGCTGTAAAAAGCTGATGTGTTCAGACTTGAAACACAGGGAAGCAGCACTATAATCTATGTGGAAGGGGAAAGGAGATAACAGTAACAGATTGCTAATTCTGGCAGTGCCGCAGCCATGGGTTGTGTGTGTGCTAACATGTGCGCGGGGGCGGCTGTGAAGGACTACAGCCTGATTAAAATCTTATGAGCATCTCATTCATTATTGCAATTATGAGACAAAGACGGTACTTGCAGAATCTTGTGAATTCCACTCACAGCAGCACGCAGATAGAATGCAAAATGAAGAGTCGACAAAAGTGAATGTGATGTGAGAGATGGAGAGGAAAAGGTAGCAGGAAGAGACAAACAAACCGAATACAAACTCACTTTTTCGTAGTATTTGATCTCGTACTCTGTGATGACGCCATTGGGTTGGTGGGGCTCCTGCCAGGAGAGTTGGATGCTGCGCTGCTGCACTTTCTCCTTGATGACCTCGCTGACCTGGGACGGAGCTGTTTGGACAAGAACATGTCAATAAGAGGAGGGCAAACTCACTGTGCGAGTACACGCATACGGCCAAGCCACTAATCAGCCGCACCGAGCCCTCCGCCAACACTCAGCGGCCCCCGCCGGCCTGACGAATATTCACAGGGACGCTTCTAAATGTTTACACCTCATGATCGAAATTTCAATTGTGCCAACAGCAGAAGATGGCGGGTGCAAAACGGCAACATGTAGATTATGAATGACAATTCAGTTCAATTAATTCCAGCGGAACAAGCAGGCACTTGCTCTCCCTGATGACAGAGCTATTCAGAAAGCCTCTTAGTGGGAGGGGGGTGTACCTGTAACCTTCTGACACCAGTCTTATGCACACCAATTATCTCTGGCTCTTTGCATGACTCATTTTAAGTGTCTCGCTGCCTGGATTAAGTGCTACCACATTTAGATTTGCCAAACAGTGCACACACACACACACACACACACACACACAGATATATATATTTTCAGCTGTCAATACCCAAAGGTAAACGATGGTACTGAACTTAACAACCTTGTATAGATGGAGCTTAAGCATACATTGGTGCCATGTAATGTCTACTACTGTTTTTACAGCACCAATTACTGCTACTGTTCCTGTACTGCACTGCTACTAATAATCCTACTGCTGCTGCTGCTGCTGCTAATATTACTACAACTACTGCCAGCGTTGCTTCGACTGCTCCTGTAACTGCTGCGACTATTACGATTACAGCCAACTCAAAGAAGAATGCTACACAGAATCTTCTATCAAATGTAATTTAGGGAAAAGACAAAGGTTCTTGTGTCCACAGTTAAAGCTGCATCAATTTAGCTGTAATGGCAGCGTTAATGTATTTTCACCTTATTATGTTAACATGGAAAGAAAGCAGTTGGCTGTTTACTCTTCCTCCTGACACATTAGCGTTCATTAAGATTCTTTTGTCTGCCCACCTGACCAATATTCATCCGGCGTTTTGTTTTGTACTCGTCGCCAACTAACTCATGAGATCTTGCTCTTTGATGCTACAAGCTCCCCTGTTGTTTACCAGGAAGTTGCTAACTTTGTCAAATGTTTGTGGCTGGGAAGGTAGCAGGGGGTTTGCGGAAAACAGCCGCCTGCTTTTGCTGGAGATGCTGTTTATGAAGTTGGAACCAAAATGGGAAAGCTGCAGGCCCTGCCAAAAATAATGGGCTGATAGATGCTAAAATGCTACGTTGGAAGGAACTGCAGAATTTCGGACAAGCCCCGCCCCTTTTGGAGCCTCTGCCACTTTCTCCTTTCCTGTATTTAGTTAGGCTCGTCTATGTTGCAAAGACAATCCCATTTTCAAGCATGGTTGAAACACCAAAGGTGTCTGTGTGTGTGTGTGTGTGTGTGTGTGTGTGTGTGTGTGTGTGTGTGTGTGTGTATGTATATATAGCTCAGCTAATTTTGCGGACTTACGGAGAAAATAACTTGATAAGTTGAAGTACTGCTACTAGTTCTGCAGCTGTGCCTTCCAGTTGTGTACAGCTGCCATTACCTTTACACCATCATCACCATCTTAATTATAATTACCATCATTTTAACAGCACTAGTGAGAAAGACAAGAGGGCAACCTTTATGGTTTACTAAACCTCACCCCAAGGAGATGATGCCTTCAAAAAAATATGCTTACTGCAAATCTAAAACTCTAAACAGCCCAAAGATCCTTTCTGTAAACATACTGTGAAATCTTGATGACTCATGTTGCTCTTGGGGGCAAAACATATTAATTAACACGTCTTAGCAAGTTTGAAAAGCCATCCTGGGGAACGACGTGAACGGCGAGGTAAAAGCCACTTGTCAGAAGCCATACTTTGATTTCTGTTTTCTGGGCCTTTCACGGATCAGAGGAGCACTTCCACATAAAAGGAGAGCTTGTGAAAGACAGTTTACACCAAAGGAGTGTGATCGTCTCCTTTTGAGCAATTTACAAATGATGAACAGAACAATAAGCTTACATTTTTCTATTGACGCACCATTTGGAAGTGTATTATGTTCGAAAAATCTGCTAATTGTACAGTCACCAAGTGAAGATATCCTATATTTACACCGAGACAAAAACCCTTTCCCCGGAGTAGAAAGTGTCTGTGCCATACTCAGTGACCCAGTGGGAGTGGACCTCCATAGCCTTAATGCAGCCTGACCCTAGATTGTTTTAAGATGACCTGCCACTAATGACTCTGGCTGGATTAAAACCTCATTAGGCCTCATCGGCATTCCTGACAGTAATGCTCACGGCAGCGGACACCCAAGACCTTGTCAAAAACCTGCTGTTGTGACATGTCCCCTCATAATCCACCCAAAACACGGAACAATGTATCCTTTCTCAGCGCGCTTGGCCGGTCAAAGGGACGATTGAGTTTTCTCTCGTGAGTCACAACAAGCAGTTAGTGCAGCTTAACTTCATCCAATTTGGCTGCTTTCTCTGCCCCCATCCAGACGGCGTCCTTGAAATATGGACCTTTCTCTTTCCCGATCCTAAATCTGGTTTGGGTTTATGGGCACTAAATGATGCTTCTTGTCTGTGTTTACTGCTTTAATCTGACATTTGCTTTCATCCCCTGCAGAGGTCTTTTTCTGCCCTGCATGTGCATAGAGGAACACTACTTCAGGATATATATTTACGCTGTTAGAAACTCTTGGACTTTGGCAAATGGATAGTTTCAGATTGGCCCAGTGGGTCTGGGTCTGAGTGTTTTTATCTTTTATAATTTGACGATGATTGAAGGATTTGTGACTGAAGTCATTTCAACATTCTCTTAAAGGTCCAGTGTGTAACATTTAGGAGTATCTATTGTCAGAAATAGAATATAATATTAGTTTTCATTAGTGTATAATCACCCGAGTATAAGAATCATTGTGTTTTGTTAACTTAGAATTAAGCTGTTTTTATTTACACAGGGAGCGGAGCCTGCGGTGGTTTTCGGGAGTTTTGCAGCCACTGTAGTTTCTCTTTTGCACTTGGAAGGGGAGGGTGAAGCGAGGGAGTTGCAATCTGAAGCTACTCCACTAGATCCTGCACACTGGATCTCTAAATTTAAGGGAACTAAAAGTCCCCCTCCAGTCAGAAGGATGTTTTCACATTCATCTGCTGAAAGAGGAAAGTTTCTCTGTTCTCACTGAAAATCAGATTTTAAGATCTCCGACAATGCCACAGATTGAATGGGAATTCAGCTGCGTATGGCTAAAGGTTACACAATGTGCTGCGTCAAAGACCAACTGTCTTCAGGGAACATTAAGTATTTTTTGTGGTATGCGTGTGATGCTTTGGGATTTTGAATTTTTTTCTACTTCTCTCCTGAAAAGCAATCAATAAGAAAGAAAACGACCCACATGCTGTTTTTAAGAAAGGAGTACAAAAACAAACACATTGATTCACCTCAACACTGCTGGTGATACAAAAATCCAACTCTGTGCTTTAATCTGCATTGTTTCCGACAGACAAAACATACTGTAGACTGCTTCCTGTTGTATACACTTATTTCTGCTCTTCTTCTCCATCTACTTCCTCATAAAAAGTCACATGCATATAAGTTTTGGAACTCTTTTGCTAATTAAGAAAATGAGGAAGCAATCTTCATTCCTAAAAAGCACACACTTGTCAGAGATACATGGTTTCCAAGCGGCAGCAGAGAGCACGAGCCAGCGTGCGGCATGATGAGCTACTTTCCCACACAGCTTCTTCTCCCCCCAGAGTGTGACGCGGGCTCAGGCACCACATCTGCCCCATTTACCCCCCTTTGGCCCGCGGCTGTAGTAGCAATGACTCAGCCCCGCCCCGCCCTTACCCTGCCACGGGTGACAGAGAGCCCCCTGTTTCCACAGAGATCATGAGATCAGTGAGCAGCATTAGCTGACGCCGTGTTGCACCGGCTAAAAGGTGATCATTCTGGAAGGTGATTTTAAGTATGGGAAAGGCGGTCGTTCTCGATTTCTCAGGGACCAGAGTTGAGCTTTAATTCTAAGAAAACGCCTATTCCTCTGTCGCCCCCGCGGATCACTCAGGCAGTGCCGTGTGACAGCCATTAATGACCGACTTGATATCATGGAGACCACTCTCAGTCAGCCACTCTCAGACTTTTAACATACCTGTGGGGGCTTAGCACGCCGGAAAATGGTATAATTGTTATGCCGGCCTTAAAGAGACTGTTTGGGAAGGCATTTGTGCATTCATTTTGCAATATTAGAAAATGTGTTAGTGACCCCGAACACCTTCGCCTGTAAAGCTAACTGATCCAGAAGCCAGTCCCCACCGTGCTCTGCATTTGAATGCCTTATGAATACATTAGACAGCGCATTTTAATATCCTCTTCTCTCACTCAGCAGGCTGATTTCACGTCCGAGGCGAAAAAGCAGAGCAGAGGTAGTTCATTACATAAGCGCTCTTTCTCTGCCTCCATGCTTGCCTCATGGACCATACCAGTGCTATAAACTCCTGTATTAATTACTGCTGTTTTCAAGATGTGCTTGTGTATCTTAACGCCTGTGGCAGCCATGTCTTTGTTGGAGTGCACAAGATTGCTGGCGTTTAGCAGTGTTTCAAAGGTTTTTAACAGGTTTTTAATTTGAGTGGAAGATTGCAATGTCTCCTTGAGAGAATAATTCCACAGAAAGTAAGTCCTTTGTGCCCAATATGGGCACATAAACATAAAGCACATCTTCCTCACAATTCACCCAGTGAAAATTGTGCAGACATTTGGGGACTTTGTGCAGCAGCTGACACTGTATGCTGGATAAAAGTACATTTGACACATTATTAAAAGTACTTTTATCGTCTTTAGAATTTTTTTTTTGTTAACATGCTTTAAAATCCTGCAAACGGCTCTGCTCTCCATCACATCAAGGATTTTACACACTGACAGCGATTGATGCAGTTAACATACTGTACAGGTCTATTCAACCTAACCTTTCATCACTGCAGAGCCGAATATTTACAGTTCAGGGGAAGTCTGGTTGTTAGACTGA